AAGAAGGACACTACATCCTTGTAAAGGGAACAATCCAAGAGGAAGAAATGACAATAATAAATACCTATGCACCAAACACTAGTGTGCCCAACTATATAAAACATATGAACATAAAAACTCATATATGCACTAATACAATTGTAGTGGGGGATCTCAATACCCCACTGTCACAAACAGATAGATCAACTAGACAAAAAATAAGTAATGAAATACTAGAACTCAATCAAATTCTTGAACAAATGAACTTAACAGATGTTTACAGAGTGTACCACCCCACAAAATCAGAATACACATTCTTTTCAGCTGCACATGGGTCACTCTCCAAAATAGACCACATACTAGCTCATAGAACATGTTTAAGTAAATGCAAAGGAATTGACATTATCCCCTGTATATTATCAGACCATAGTGCAATGAAATTGGAGATCAATAACAAAAGAAACCACAAAAATTTCATAAACACGTGAAAATTGAACAACACATTTCTGAATAACCAATGGGTCACAGAGGAAATTAAAGAAGAAATAAGACAGTTCCTTGAATTAAATGACAATGACAATTAAGCATATAGGAATCTATGGGACACAATGAAAGCCGTCTTGATACTCTATATAGAAGACCCCAAGAATGCCACACAAATCTTCTAGACTTAATAACCAAATTCAGTAGAGTAGCTGGATACAAGGTCAGCACACAGAAATCAATAGCTTTCCTCTACACAAACAATAGACTCACTGAGACAGAAATAGGGCAAACACTTCCTTTCACAATAGCATCCAAAAATCTGAAATACCTAGGAATCAACCTAACAAAAGAAATAAAAGACCTCTTTTCTGAAAATTATAGCACCCTGAAAAGAGAGATCAAAGATGATATCAGAAAATAGAAAGACATTCCCTGCTCCTGGGTAGGAAGGATCAACATAATGAAAATGGCCATTGCTATACAGATTCAATGCAATCCTAATTGAAATCCCAGCATCATACTTCACGGACCTTGAGAAAACAATCCAAAAATTCATTGGGAACAAGAAGAGACGCAGAATAGCAAAAGCAATTCTAGGCAACAGAGCCATGGCAGGGGTATCACAACCCCCAACTTGAAAGTATACTACAAAGCTACTGTGATAAAAACAGCATGGTGCTGGCAAAGAAACAGACCTGAGGACCAGTGGAAGAGATTAGAAGATGCCAAAACAACTCCAGACACACTCAGCCACCTTATCTTCGACAAAGGAACCAAACACCCTCACTGGAGAAAAGATAGCCTCTTTAATAAATGGTGCTGGAAAAATTGGGTTTCAACTTGCCAAAGATAAAAATAGACCTATATCTCTCACCATGCAGGCAACTAAAATCAAAATGAATTAAAGATCTAAGTATTAAAATAGAAACGCTGAACCAGCTGGAACAGAGGTTAGGTAGAACTCTTGAAGACATTGGTGTAGGAAAAGATTTTATGAACAAAACCTCAGTTGCCTAT